AGATATGCATTGCTCAGAAGACACTGAGGGACACACCGCACTGTTGGGAGAGAGACTGTGAGAGACTGTTGGCTGAGAGATGGTGGGCTGAGAGAGAGGCTGAGCGTTTTTCCTGAACTTGAACTGTAGCCTAGTACTTCCCTAATAAACCGCGTGATCTGTGAGTTCTGTGTGGCCACTGCAGTGAATTATCAAACCCCAGCGAGAGGTGGTGGGTGCTTTGGGAGGAACAGTTGGAGAAAGGGCTGGAGGGAGGCAGCATGTCTGGCCTCACAGGAATAGGCCTTGGGCTATTGATGGTGGTTCTGTCTTCCTCCTGTGTGGTTAGAGGAGATCGGAAGATACGGCCTCCTTGCCTTTTTTGCAGCTGTTCACTGCTGAAGTAGAGTGTGGTGTCTGTGTGTCTGGGAGGCAGCGAACACCCCGGGTAAAAGATGATGGTAGAAGCCCGTGTCTTCCTTCCGCATCATGTTAATAATATAGTAACAGGACGGCATTTATGGGTAACACAGCACCAAATGTTATCAAGAGCCCTCACCTCACACGCTGCTGGTGGGACACGAATCCACAGTGCCGCTCCAAGAAAGAGATCAGTGATTTCCTAAAAAGTCAACCATACACCCCTGTTCACTGCAGCACCGCTGACAACTCCCACAAGGTGGACACAACCTAAACACCCATCAACAGACGAATGGATCAACCACATGTAGTCCATACACACAGTGGGATGTCACTCAGCCAGCAGGAGACATGAAGTCCCGACACACGCAACAGTGCTGATGGGGCTGGAAGACACAAAGACGAGCAAACTACATGGACCATGAAAGGAGTCATACCGCAGGAAATGCCTCATACCTCACTTACGTAAAGGACACGAGGGCAAAGGCACAGAGGACGAGGTGCATCAGTGCTTACGAGGGGTGGGAAAGGAGCGCTGCTGGTGTGCTGGTCAAGGCATGTGGCTGTCACCCCAAAAGTTGGTGGTTCAAATCCACCTGCGGCTCTGTGGAAGGAAGACAGGGCAGTCTGCTTCCATAAAGGTTCCAGCCTTGGACACCCACTGGGGGGTCACTCTGAATCGGGACTGACTCCGTGGCACCAAGTGTGGTTTCATGGTTCTTGATGGGTGGTAGGGAGGGGAAGGGGGGCTTGATGCTGACAGAAACATCGTGCTGATTAAGGTAGGCATGCACAGCCAATTGTGTGATTGCTGTCAATAAGCTGTACACCTCTCAGAAATTGAATTGGCAAAACTTGTGTTATGTATTTACAACAATGACCAAACCAAAACCAAACTCATTGCCATCAAGTCAGATCTGACTCATAGCGGCCCCTCCTTGGGTTTCTGAGGCAGTATCTCTATGGATGTAGATTGCCCAGTCTTCCCTCTGAGGAGTGGCTGGTGGGTTTGAACCACCAGCCTTCTGGTTAGCAGTCAAGTGCCTTAAGCACTACGCCACCAGAGCTCCCCTTTTCTGTGTTAGTTTTATGTAATGTGTGGCTAATTGCCTCCATGAACAACTGCCTCCTTTGCCATGAGACCAGAAGAGCTGGATGGTGCCCGGCCACTGAACATACTGAACACGTGGATCGACGATTCCATGCAAGAATCCTGATCACAGGGGGGAGAGGAATGAAGAGCAGAATTCCAAATGCTCACGGACTACATACTTCCTGGAGCTATGGAGGTTGGATGAAACCTCCTCAAACTACTGCCCTGAGATAATCTTTTAATCATAAACCAAAAATATTCCTTAAAGTCTTTTTAAAACCGAACAACAGTTTAGCTTAATTAGCAAAGAATGCCTGCCTTGAGCAGTATGCTCTTTTAATAACTACCTACATGGGCTCAAAGGAGCTCTGGTGGTGTAGTGCCTAAGGCACTTGACTGCTAACCAGAAGGCTGGCGGTTCAAACCCACCAGCCACTCCTCAGAAGGAAGGTTGGGGCATCTATTTCCATAGTGATACCACCTTGGAAACCCAAGGAGGGGTCGCTACGAGTTGGATCTGACTCCACAGAAGCGAGTTTGGTTTTTTGGTTTTTATATGGGCTCAAACTAACAAGAGCAACTCGAAAGATGAGACAGGAAACTTAGGAGCTGGTGAACTTATGTTAATGTGGGAGAAAGAACTCCAAAAAGGAGCGTAAGAATGGTTGCACAACTTGAACATCATCATGAATGTCACTGAGTGGTGCATGTAGAAATGGTTAAAATGGTTGATGTTTTGCTGTGTATTCTCAACAACAAAAAATAAATGCAAATTTTAAAACGTGTTAAAAAAATAAATAAATAAACATAGACACCAGAGTTCCCTCAAAATACCTGCTGTCACTGAGTTGATTCTGACTCACAGCGCCCCTAGAGGACAGAGTGGAACTGTAGCATAGGGTTTGCAAAGCTGTAAATCTTTAAGGAAGCAGATTGACTCATCTTTCTCCCACGAAGTGGTTGGTGGGTTCAAATTGCTGACCTTTCAGTTAGCAACCTAGCGCTTAACCACTGTGCCACAAGGGCAGTTCATTAAATATACACCTATCATATAACCCAGCCACTCCACTGCTAGGTATTTAATGATCATAATTAACCATGGAGAGAATACTGGGCTTATGAGTGATATGTAAAAGACTTTGAGTTTATGTGGAAGAGTAATGTATATATATATTTCATAATGAAAACTGAATTTAAAATTGGAGGAAAAAAAATAGTTTGCCACAAGAGGTATAGACAACAAAGATAAACACTTTTACATACACAACACTGCATCATCAATAATAACAAACATTAATCTATGGATGGACACATAGGCAGGCAGGCTGAATGATCAGGTATGTCTAGGCAAAAGGGAATATACCCATGACCACATATGTTTGGCAGACAATACTCCTTGATACCTATTTGTATGTCCTGTAAGAATCTCCACACATATAACAGAGCTAACAGGGCAAAGTTATGATAACTTCTTAGCCACATCCAACCACCCTGAGGAGCAAGGTGTTGGGCCTGTGGGCTTGGGACCAGAGTCCTAAGGGACATCAAGCTCAACTCGCACAACATACTACACAAAAACATTATTCTATCGGGCAATGTACTTCCATAGAGATACTGCCTCGGAAACCTAAGGAGGGGTTGCTATGAGTCGGAGTCGACTAGACAGTAGTAAGTTTTTCAGTACTTTGGTGACCAGCAACAACCATCTAAAATGCAACAATGGGGGTCTCCTCATCCAGAGCAAAGAAGAATGAAGACAACCAAGGACACAGAGAAATAATTAGTCCAAGGGACTAGTGGGCCATGCAAACCTCAGCCTACATGACCTTGAGAGCAGAAGAACTAGATGGTGCCCGGCTCCCACTGTCAACCACTCGAAGGGAGATCAGTGCAGGAGATCTTGGAGAGAGTGGGAGGACAATTTGGACCAAAACTCAAAATCATAAAAAAGACCAGGCCTGCTGGTCTGATAGAAACTGGTGAAACCCCTGAGACTACAGCTCCTAGTCACCCTTTGGGTCTGGAACTGAACCCATTCCTGTGGCTTCCAGCCAAATAACAGACAGGCAAATAAGATGAACTTACACCAGGTAGATACACTCCTTAGAGCAATCAACCACGGGAGACCAGAAGGGCAGTATCTGCACAGGGAGACAGCTCAGAGGGCAGAATGTATAGGAAGGAAGGACACAGGGAAAAGGTAACCCCAGGGTTCCTAGAAAGTTTGAAATAGAACTACCATTGACCCAGCAATCCCATTACTAGGTCTATAACCTAAGGAAGTGAAAGCCAGGACAAGAGCAGATTTATGTACACCCATGTTTGTTGCAGTGCTATTTACAATAGCAAAGACATGGAAACAACCTAGGTGTCCATCAACTTAGGAAGGAATAACCAAACTATGTGCATACACACAGTGGGATACTATGCAACCCTGCAGAATAACGTAGAATCTGCAAAACACTGCGTAATATGGATGAAGTTGGAGGACATCATGCTGCGTGAAGTAAGTCAATCACAGAAGGACAGACACTGCATTAGTCCACTATTGTAAAAAGTCAAGGAAACGTTTATACATAGAAGGAAACTTGCTTTGTTGGCTACCAGGAATGGCAGGGAAAATTTCTAGATAGGTTGAAAAAATCAAATAAACAAACAAACCCCAATGATGATTAGTGGTTACCAAGGGTAGGAGGGAGGGGAAAGGGGCAGCTTTTGTTTGGGGGGCATCGGGTTTACGGTACTGGTGGTGGAAAAGGACAGCAACAGTGGTGGGACAACGTGAAAAATGTCATTGGTGTCCCTGGGCTGCAAATGGGGGAGTTGTTATGTCGGTGAATGTCTTGTTGTGCATGTCTTCACCACAATACAAGTAAAAAAAAAAAAAAAGAGAGAGAAAGTAACCCCAGCGAGGAAGTGGGAAGAGAGCTGTTCCATTATGGTGACTGCAATCAATGTCATGAAATAAAACGTGTATGAACTGCTGTATGGAACGTGAATTTGCTCTGTAAACTTTCACCCAAATCACAATAAAATTTTTTAAAACAAAATAAGAATGCGCTTTCACCACGGTATCACAGAGAACACCTTCTCTGAACATAAAACTCTAGAGGTTGGTAACAGAGCAGAGTGTGAGGGCTGAGCCCTTACCTACAGGGCCTGACAATGACCCTGAACTATGTACAGTGCTGGAACTGGGACGAGGACTCTGTTTCCCTAACTCCTTCCTTTGTCATTATGATCCAACATTCTGTCCAGTTATAGGAAATAAACATTAACACAAATGCCAAACATAAAAAAAACACAACCCACTGGGCATAGTATCTGAGCTACTTCACTGTTAAAAAAAAAAAAAAAAAAGAAAAAAAAAAAAGTAACAATAACAGAATTCTATTTTTCAAAAGGCACGTGATGTTCTAGCCAGTGACATCCCCAAACACGAGTGGACGGTTAAACACCAAAACATGAATGACAGGTCACATGCCCAGAGACAGAAGAAACAACTTACTTGTTCATACAGAGATAACAGGATGTGTTCTGGAAATCCTTCTCCGACAGCTGCCAGTTTTCGATGGAGCCCTTCACAAACCCTGACACCACGATGAAACCCAGAACCAGAACGTTGATACACGTGAATACCTTGTTGACCATGGCAGACTCTTTCACCCCCAACGTTAAAAGCCCTGGAGAAGTGCACAAGGAGAAAACGTTGGAAGTGCTAACCAAACATCAGGTGAAACCTTCCTGGGACTAGGGGCAAGGTGGGTCAGGGTTAGAGGGTTACTGAAAAGAACCCAAGTGACATTAAACCACAAGAGACCTCTGGAAAT